TTGAAAAGCAAAGAAGTTGATCAAAGTGCCGGTTTCTATTTAGTTTGTTCAACACTATAGCTATTGTTTTGCCAAAAGTGATCCTGATCTGTGACTGTTCTAACGGTAACCGACCTTCTAGAAGATACCATCGTCATTGACGCCATTTTTACATTAAGATTGATCAATTTAAAATTTTTTTCCTTTTTTGAAGGGTCAAAACTACAAAACTGTTTATTTTGAGGACTTTGCCGGTTAAAAAAATCGAAGTAAAACTTTTTTAAAGCACAATGGTGTATAAATTATGGGGTAGTATTATGCAAATCAGAGGAGCCTGAACAGGCAAAGTTGTGCAATTTTGCACTATGGGTTGCATGAATCTCAGCCAGTGCAACACAAACAAGTTTCTCAGTGCCTCAGGATAACTAAATGAACCTTAATAATGATCTTTTTAATAGTTTAGAAACACAGAGAATGTTTAACAGCAAGAATACCATCAAAATTTGCATTCTGACACTGTTAGTGTCACGCTTGCCGTCAAAACGTCAGAATAAGATGAAAATAGCCCCTGCACTTCAATTATAAGAATCATAGAATGCTTTTACAGTGTCATGAAGTCACAGCCTTACACTAGACACAAGTTATTTTGCCTCAAAGAGAGGCACTGAACCATCTTCATGCTCCACCATTACTCGTTGCTATGGTGACATCAATGAATATCATTAAATTAATGTGACCGCTCCTTGCATTGCAATTTCTGGACATGTTTTATTATAACGATACAAATATTGATTGGTCAATTAAAACTGCATGTGTAAATCATATTAGCGATAATTTTTTTTTTGATTTATTAATCTACAAATATATGAAGTTACTTATTTTCTAATTATTGAAATTATTAGTCTCTAGTGCTGCTGCTCTAATTGAAAAAGATGAAATGATACAAAGACTTGAATCACAACTACAGGAAACTAAGAGTTTATATTATGAAAAGGATGAAGAGAAGCAGTTTGTACAGTTCACTAAAGGTACATGTACATGTAATTGTATTATCCAGTTCTGCATAAATTATATATAATCATAAAATCAGCTTTGAATTTTTGTTATATGTATATTTAATTGTTTCTCTTTTATGTAGCGTCTGGAGAATACAAGGGTAAAGTCATTAAACTACAGGATCAGGATTTTGATGAAAAGATTCATTTAGGTCAGTAATCTTGTCAGACATTTTCTAGCTATCAGTGTGATTATTGTCATACGTTACTATGATCGTTTTGTATAGAAGATCAAGGGATTATGAAGAAAGAGAAGATAGATTTCACTCTACACGAACAGGATCAATTTAGCATCAAGGGAACTGACTCAGTTGGAGTACAATTTAACTACATGATCCCTTCAATGGGTAAGATTACTTAATGGCTATGTACACAGTGTAGTTCTAGTATTGTGTGGGTTGCTCTTAGTGGCCCATTTATTGTTCTAATTTTGTGGTTGATAGCCTTGTAAGGGATTGCACCTCAGTTTTTTAAATTCATGATAACGGTACATGTACAAATGTATATCCAAAATCATTTTCTAAATTCACCTTTAATGTTTATTGCACTCTAAGACATACATATGTACCAGTAAGTTAATGTTATGTGTGTGACTGTGTGTTTTATACAATTGATAGATAATTTGGAATGTCTGAGTGATGTAACAATGTAACAATGAATGGAAAATAACCATTTTTTATTTTCATTATTTTATTTCTATTCAAGAGAAGAGGATGCTAACATTAGAAACACAATCACTAGAAACTAAGACTCTTCTTACTAAACGAAAGAGAGATCAAGAGGACTCACCACACTCAGGTTAGGGAGTATAAATGAAACCATAACTATTGGGAAATATTGTATTTGGTATTTATATTGACTTTTATTTTCCAGCTTTTTATCATGTTGAAAATAAAAATTTAATTTCTGCAGATAATTCTAAGAAGCTTAAAACTGATGAACTAGAGGAATCAGTGGATGAGAAACAAATAATGACTGGTTAGTGTATCATCACTACATAATATTAGATGAGAGAATATTCTATTAATGTAGGAGAATATGAGAAACTTAAAGCTATAGTTGCTGATAATGAATTATATTTGGCTGAAGTATTGAAAGGGAAGACACAAGCAGAGGAACAACTTAAAGAAAAGCAGATAATTATTGGTGAGTCAATAATACACAGCATGTATTGAATAAGAGATTACATACTGTATATCTTTCTGTAGATGATTTCAAGACTACAGTATCTGAGAAAGATGCATATATATCTAAACTATTGAAAGAGAAATCACAACAACAGGAGAGGATCACATCTCAAGAGGAACAATCGATCAAAGAGACTAGTTCTGTTGATGTTCAGTTCAACTACTTAATACCATCAATGGGTAAGAGATATGCTACTAGTATTATTGATGGTTCGTGTCAACAGTGTTGTGTAGCAAATTTGAGCTGATTTCGACTAAAATTGGATTTTTGTGAATTTTTGAATTTACTCTAAAATATATCAAGTTCTCTGTACTAACTAGTACATGTACAGGTTTTTGGCCAAATTCTGCCAAAAATGACTAGGCTCATTTATTTTTTTTCTGATACATGCACATGTTTTTATGTTATGTGACAAGTTTGAGCTAATTCGGATCAAAAATTAATTTTTTTGAATTTTCCCAAAGGATGTACTATTGTAGTGCTTGTCAGCTCATGATTGAAGCATGCTGTTTAGCTCACTTAGCATGCTTTGTGGGAAACCCTATTATAACACATGCACTTGAGTTACATTGTACGTCAGATTTATAAAACTCGAAACTCGTTCTATAGTTCATTAAGAGGACCCTCTGTGTTGTGTTATATTATGTACCAGTAGTGTTATGTGTGTGACTTTGTGTTTTACACAATTGATAGATAATTTGGAATGTCTGAGTGATGTCCAGGTAGCAGAGAAGAAGCTGTTCTTAATTCAAGGAGACAAACCTCAACTGATGAATTGGGAGAAATATGGTCTAAGGATTGGAGTACAAGAAGACAGCTTACTGCCCTCTGAGACAGTAGAAGCAGCAGTGTTGCTCTTGTAGGAGGACAGTTCCAGT